GGATGAGTGTGCGGAGCATCATCTGCGCAGTCTGGTGCGCACGTTCCGTTTGCCCATCCGTTTGAGGATGCCGTGCGGAACTCGGTTTCATGCTAGTGTCGGATTCCACCATGAGTGTCGTCCAAAAGGCCGACATGAAACGAGTGTCGAGGTCGCTGACGCTGTCTTCCGGAACGCCGTGGCTGCAAACCAGCCGGTATGCAAGAGTCGTGCGAGCTCAGGAGCCGTCGCATGATACTTGCATGGAAGAAATCGAGCGTACTTTCTCAAACGGTCAACGACCGTGAGGATAACGTCATGGACAAGGCGATCACGAGGGAAAGGGTCGGTCACATCCATAGCAATGGAGAGACCCGGTTCCCGAGGAATCGGCAATGGTTTCAGTTCGCCGTACGAGAGCTGATGGCCCCATTTGTTCCGGTGGCAAACTGCACGTGACTAAATGTACCGGTTAACGTCGCTGATGATGTCTGGCTAGTGGAATCGTTAGCGGAGTCGTGCAAGCGTGCATGTGACGCCAAGGTGTCCCGCCAGCCGCGAATCGTGGTATTCGCCAAGGAGGCGAGTGCGCAAGATGCGGTCTTGGGGAACACACAACAAGTCCTTGCCTCGTGTATGGAGAAACAAGTAGCCGTCGACAATGCGATCATTGCTTGCCGGCAGGTTATCCGATGATACGTTCGCGTAGAGTGTAGAGAATCCCGGATATAACTTGTATCCGTTTACAAAATGCTGTTGCAGGTTCTCGTCGAGGCCGACTGTGGAGTGCACCAAGGCGCAAAGATCAGGTCTTCGGGAGAGAGCATCTGCTGCCTTGTTCGAGGAGCCCGGAATGTGTTTGGAGGCGAAGTCGAACTGGTCAATGAAGTACATCCATCGACCGACCGTGCTGCTCACCATGTCTTGCGTCTTGTAATATGTCAACTGATTGTTGTCCATTGCCCACGTGAATCGCCGACGCCCGAGGAGAAAGTGATGCTAACTTTTAAGTACGGTGACAAAAGCTAGGAGCTCCTTCTTCCTCGCATCATCAAGAGTGTTGATGGGCGGCACCTTTTGGCTGAAGTACTCAACCGGATGCCAGTCTGTGCCGTCATGCTGTTCCAAAACCGCGTAAATGCCGTAGCCGGAAGCATCCATAGTCACTTTAGTAAGCAAGGTCGAGTCATAGATGCTTAAGACGGGAGCTTGAAGCAAAGTCGTCTTCAGCGTGTGAAACGCATGCCGGGCTTCGTCGCTGAGTTTGAAGGGCACCAAGGGGGACTGAAGTCGCGACAATGGTGCAGCGATGCGTTGAAATCCTTTGACGAAGCGCATGTAGCATAATGCCAAGCCGAGAAAGGAGCGAACGTGAGTAGTACAATTGTTGTCTGGCCAATCTTGAATGGCTTGTACCTTGTCCGCGAGCAGACGAATGCCTTGCGGCGTAACGTAATGGCCTAAGTACTCCAGCTCTTGCTGGGCAAACTCGCACTTGTCGCGGTTCGCCTTATACTTGGCGATACGGAGCCGCTCCAATACGGCGCGAAGGTGCTCGAGGTGCTCGTCCAGCGTCCGACTATAAAGCAAGATATCATCAAGGTAAATAAGTACGATGCGGTCGAGCAAGTCGCGGAATTCTGCCGTCATAGCCGCTCGGAAAGTAGCCGGGGCATTGGTGAGACCCAAAGGCATGACGATCCACTCAAAGTGCCCATACCGCGTCTTGAATGCGGTTTTGTACCGATCTTTTGGCTGAATCTCGATCTGGTGGTATCCGGACTTGAGGTCAAGCTTTGAGAAGTACTTGGCGCCACCTAGTCGCTCGAGAAGATCATCGATCCGAGGCAGAGGGCCGACGTTCTTGATCGTTTGCGCGTTAAGTTTTCGATAGTCGATGCACAAACGAAGGTCCTTGTTCTTCTTCCGGACGAAGAGAACGGGAGCACCGTATGGTGAACAACTAGGCCGAATCCAGCCCTTGGCCAAGAGGTCGTCTAGTTGTGCCCAAAGCACTTGAAGTTCCTCTTCGCTCACGCGGTAGATACATCCGCATGGAGGTACGACGCCGTCCTCGAGAGTGATCCTGTGGCGTATGGGCCGATCCAGTATGACTCCGGCGGGAGATTGGAAGACATCCTCATAGTTGTCCAACAGCTCAATGATGCGTGGGTCCGACGTATCCGTCTTAGGCTGATCACCGGGTGGGAGGGCGTGAATAAAACATATGCCCATCTCCTCGATGTCATTCCGCCGGATGGATTGGTGAATACTCATCGCGGATGCCACGTGACAACCAATCGAAGGATGAGGAAGCGACACCGTACACGAGACTAGTTTGCCACGCCGATCACAAACGTGAACGGTGCATCGATGGAAGTTCACCGGATGGTCTTCGCTTTGCAGCCACGACATGCCTAGGATCATATCAAACTTGGTGTCCAATATGTCGAAAGACACGGCCTCGCATGCGAGCGGGGCAAAGTGCATGGGCACCGAGTC